CACTGTGTTACATCTTCGATCGACCACACAAACGACATCAATGTGATACCCAATCACATATGTGATGCATTGTGATACCATTGTAGTATCACCGGAGGACGGTGGCCGGAGAGAGAAGAGAGGAGGGAGGAAAATTTTAAAATACCAAAAATATCCTGGCATTAATATTTTAATTCAAAATTGTCAAAATTATAAATTTCTTAATTAATCTATTGATTTGTGGTTAATATTGGTTCTCACAGTTATCACAAACTAATTAGTTCTCATTTGATTAAACCCCTATATATATATATATATATGTGTGTGTGTGTGTGTGTGTGTGTGTGTGTGTAGAGAGAGAGAGAGAAGATGGGGGCGTGCACTTCACATGGGTGATGAAAGGATGGTGACGTCCCTGGTGGAGAAAGAAGCAACAGTTAAAGAAAATCAAAGAAGAAAGGAAAATAAGAGGAATTAAGATATTGGTTTACCTCTTATTTATTCATATCCTGTTATGTGATAAAAAGTTCTGTGAATAAGAAAAAAACTAACAGTTTGAATTACAAAATGTCTAAACAAATCAAACATAAGTGACAATTAAGAGCTGAAAATACAAACAATCCCCTAGTTATGTTTCACAAATCTCCTGGTTTTTTAGTTCGAAGACATATTTTTTATGCTTGATAAAAAGTAAAATATTAAATAACTTTATCAGGTTTTATGTCTTTTGGTTAAGGTTTTATAGAAAAATGTATTCTTTTAATTATTGCGAAAAAGAAATTTATAGCATCTTCTTGTTATAATACGAATTAATTGTCATATATACTTTATAAGTTATGGAAAAAAAATGGAAAGGTACATTTATTCAATTACACGTGGAGTAATTTAAGTGGTTGTTGTCTTTGTACAATAATATTACATATATTTTTTTTATTAATCTGGATATCCAACCCGTTATGCGAGCCGACTAATCTCAGGACGACCACCTGCTTTGCAGATAGCTCGGAGTCACCGCATTTGAATTTTCGTGGCCATAGGGGAACTTTTATTCCTCTTTAGATTTGAACTTGGGATCTTCTGGTACTTTCGACCTTTGAAGCCAAACTCAAAGCATATAATATTTTATTGTCAATCATCACAAAACAAGAACAAATTTCAATAAAAATGTTTGTCGGATTTTTTTGCTTCAAATTAATTATTTTAAAATTCAATAAAATGTTTGTCGGTCTTCTTGCTTCAAATTAATTATTTTTTTGGTTGCTATATTGTTAATTAGTCCCTTTTTATTGTATTTGTTTGGAAAGAAATGGACCATAAATATAATTCATTTTAAAATAGAATGTATTTTATTTCAATTTATTTCCAAGAAGCATATAATGTGGTGCTTTGAAGAAGCATTTCGCACTTTACATATCCGCTTTGAGCAACACAATTTATTTTTGACAAGTACAATGGTGAATACCGAACATGTATGGACGTTTGGAGAGATCTGTTTGTGAACAGATGTAACGGATCGCAAAGGGTTTGACCATCGGTTTAGCAACAATTTGGTTCAACAGTACCTATTCAAACAAACACGATGGTTTAGACTGTCTTTGGTGCTATGTCGGAAAAATCTCGTAAAAGTGATTGTTTAAAGGGTTGTCACTAAAGTCTATATACATACGCATTCAACACCCAATATCCTTCTCGTCCATTAGATTTGCTAAGAGTTGTGTTTCTAAAATACATTTTTGTTTCTAGAATATCTTTGTAAACTTAATTGTTCACCGAGATTATCATCACTTGTTGCAGGTTGATACCTATAATTAATTTAGTATCTACATTTAATATAAAACAATTAATAAAAAAAATAAAATTTATACAATTTTTAATTTTAAAATTGTAAAAATTATTAACAAGACATCTACCACTATTTTGCGACACCTCCCATGTTGGACTTTTTACACCCTAATTCTTACCATGCCCGGAGTGCACCAAAATATTCAAACTATGCATACTATTCACGGTGAGCAGCAGAATCGGGTACTCATTTACGGAACCGAAACTGTCTTGAAACTGTCGGTTCTGAAACCGGAACCATTCTCAATCGGTTCCATATTTTAGGAACCGGAACCGATTGAGAATGGTTCTGGTTCTCAATTTTTCGAAACCGTTACCTGCCGGGTACCCGGTACTTTTCAATTATAAAAAATAATTAATTTTTTTATATATAATTTGTGAAGTTTTTTATGTAATCTATTTAGTTTTATGTTAAAAATATGTGTAGTTTTTTATATAGTTTGTGCAGTTTTTTTATATAAAATTTGTGTAGTTTTTCGTTAAATATACGTGCAGTTTTTTACGAGTTTGTGACAGTCTTTTTAACACTCAATTATTCATAGGTACCGTACGAGGTTGAGGATGCGATGTGTATGCAAAAAGTTGAAACGAGATTCACAATTTGAGATAAAATGATTCCTTTTTTTTTTCAAATTGTGTGTTTAATTGGATTCGTAGTATGTAATTGTTAAACTTTCAATATTTACAATTATAGTATATAATCGTTAAACTTTCAATATTTACTATTTAGTCTATTATGGTTTGTAATTGTTAAACAATATTTGTTACCATTATTCCGTATAATTTGTATTCTTATTTATTTATTTAGTGTTTTGGCAATGTTTTATTTCTTATTTCTAAATAACAAAATTTTAATATTTTAAGAAGCGTGTACCCGGAACCGGAACCGGTTCCCGGCGGTTCGGGTTCCGGTTCCAATATCTCAAAAACCGCCGGTTTCGGTTCCTGTCAAATAGGGCGGGTACCCGCCTATGCTCACCCCTAATTCATATAGACCATGGTAACTCACTATGCTTTTGAGGCTCCAGTCTTTTTAACCATAGATGTTCGGACCAGTTTGTGCACATTTCAACTAATTCCAGAGGCTTTGGAGAACAATTTAGACAATTTTTCAGTAATCTTGCAGGATTCGAACCGGTTAACCCTGAGGAGGATCCCCAAATTCCCAAACATTGCCAGTGGAGGCTCGGGTTCTAGTTCTTGATTTTTAGGTTGCCATAAAAATTCTCATCATGTAGATATTGTAAGTGTGTTATTTTCTATTATTACTGATACAAATATCTTATGTTATTAGATAAACAGATTTCATATGATCAACATTTTAAATCATCATAATAGGTATCTCTTTTAATAACAATAAATAAAATAAAGTTGTCAAGTATAAAAACAATTTTGTAATTATTTTAATATCAATATTCAAATACGGCAATATCGGCACTCTACCTCCACAATTAATTAAGGTAATTGAACACGAACTAAATAGTGGTCCAAGTCCATCCCTATAACTATTCATCCTCGAACGGTAAATATATCGTATAATTTATAAGTGGGTAAATTACATGAAAAAATAATGTACTTAAACTTGATTTATATTTTGGGTAACGTATTTTTAAAACTTTCATTTTGGCATATAAGATGTAAAGTTTTAAACGTTTAAGTAATCGGGTAACTGCTCGAAGCATTAACCGGTTACCATGATGATGTGACGAGTGATATCAGCATAGATATCTTAATACTAAGTTGGATACCACATCACTCGCTACATCAGCATGATAACCTGTTAATGTTTTGACCAGTTACCCATGTACTTAAATATTTAAAACTTTACATCTTGGGTACCAGAATGGAAGTTTTTAAAATACGTTACCCAAAATATGAATCAAGTTAAAGTACGTTACTTTTTCATGCAATTTGCCATTTATAAGAATGTTATAATTTCTTTAATAGAATTATAAGAGTAGACTAGAAATTTGGTCCATGTGGTTTGTCAAAAATAACACTTTTAGCATTATAGTTTCAAAATTACAGGGTGGTATCGTGGTTTATAAAAGCGTCCGAATTTGATCTCTCTCTTTAACGGACGTTAAAAAACTCCATTGAGGAATTTTATTCTTTATCGATTTTTTGTCTTTTATTCAATCAAAATCAATTATATGCTTTTGATCTCTATGGTTTTTGGTTGAGTAAAAAACAAAAAAGAATTAGATAAAAGAACGAAAATGTCCTTTTAACAAATCTTTTACTGGCCTTTAAACGGAGGAACAAATTCTGAATGCATTTGCAAATTACAATTGTCATCTTGTAATTTTAAAATTATAGGGACAAAAAATGTTATTTTTGACAAACCATAGGGACCAAACTTGTAGTTTACTCTAACTATAGTTATAATGTATTTTAGTAGAATTTTATTCGTTTAATAGTATTTTAAAAAATGTAACAAACAAACAAACTTTCAAAAAATAGTTGTATTTAACTTGTAAGAAAAGTTATTTATAAAATAACTGAATTTCAGTGTCGTCCCTTAGCATGTTAAATGTGAGATTTTGAACAGGGCCCTAAAAATTTTGGGGTCCAAATTTACATGTGTTTAGGGTCTTTTTATCGATCTGTGTAAAACTATAGCTGAAATTATTTACGTTCAAACCATTAATTATTTGGTTTTAGGTTCAAATCATTAATGGTTTAGGTTTAGTTTCAGATTGTTAATCGTTTTAGGTTTAGTCCATTTTTATTCTAAACATATATTATATGTCATCTCATTAATACTATGTAATCAAAAGTTTTGTATATAACAGGGCCTCCAAAAAGATTGAAACGTCTCTGCTGAATTTGAGTGACTTAATTCAAGTCCAGATTTTAAGTTTGTCTCATATGTTATTGGTTTTTAAAGGTTTAATGAGTCTTAACATAAATGGGGCCAAAAGCTTAATGAGAGTGTTGAAATTTTTGATCATATCTGAAACTCTGGTCCCACTCATTTAATTGGATCGTTGGTTTTCTCATGGAACTTGTGGTTGTGTTTTACTTCATTCTTTATTTTGACAACTTATAAATCTTGTTGAAATTTCAAAAAATGAAGAATAACGGACAAAGATTCTTTATACGAGATATGAATTCCCTCTCAAACTCTTCCTTATATTCTCAAGTTCTTATTTTTAAGATTACTCGATGAGAATTTCGATATAGAGAAGGTCGCAATGGAAATAACAGAGCAAATCAAACAAGGAAAGAAAAGCAAACAAAAATGAACGTGGGTACGATGCGGGTCAACCCGTCTAACCCGCTTAAACTTCTAGTCGATCCCCACTTCCGCGAGTAGCATGCGGCTAAAACCTGCATGGAGTCGCCTAAGTTCTCCCGAAACTCGTTGTTGTGTTTCCACTTCATTCGTTGTTTCAAGAAACTCAGTACCTTTTTACTTAATCTCGTTGAATCTTTTTCTAATTTGATGAGAAAATAATAAAAAAGAATAACGGAGAAAGATTTTTTAATATCAATTTCTCCCGGTAAGAATCCAAATACGATACATGAATCCCGTCTCAAATTCTCCTTCATTTTTTAAGCTTTTCATAATTACGACATTCTATATAAACCGTTCGAGGAGTTTCGACTTAAAATTTCCATTAAGTCTACTTCTTTCACATAATAACACGTTATCCCCAAAACTCTATTTCCAATACTTGACAACTTTAGTCCTTCACTTGAAACATCTTTTACAAATGAGCCATGAATGATTTGGTGTAGAATGATTAAGTGGTCATAATAATTGAGAGGCTTTCATAATATAGTGCAAAACAAAATATAATTGTTTGGTAATTGTTTGCAATGAAATCAATGCGCTTAATGGTTAAGGGAGGCTCACGATACAAAATTATTCAGAGAGTTTTAAAACCATTAAGAGACAAATTTTTTTTTATCAAACAAAATTCATCTTTTAATGATTCAAATGTTGCTTCTTAATTAAACTATTAAGAGGTAAACAAACAACCCTTAAACCCCATATAATTTAATCCAAAAGTAATCAATATGAAATGTTAATATATTACAACAAGACCAAACAGACAACTTAATTTAAAATATATATATATATATATACATATATAAATTTGTCTTTAATTTGTTCATAAATGAAGATGTCTGAACGACCAGTGCAATCAATCATATATATATGTGCAATATTACTAATCTACCCCTTAAAGCAAACAAAACATGCGCATTACTTTGAACGAACCGGCTCCTCCGTAATGGTATCCAGGAATGGCTTCCGTGATCGGGAAACCGCTAACCGATAACTAAACTCCGGCACCTCCACCACCAACCTCGGCTGCTCCGCCTCATTACCACCTAGTGTCGACTCCGGAGATATCTTTCCTGAAATCCTCTTCGGTGCGCTATTTGCCGACATCCAAAAAACCGCCATATCCGCTGGCGTGATCATTGAATTCACTCTCCTCATCGGGAACATAATATAGACGTTTCCAGATTCCAGATCTTCATCGGCTGAGAGAGGCGAGAACCGCCTGTTGATATTCAACGACTGTGAGTTGACTAGGAAGAAATTGGGGCAATCGAGCATGATCTCGGCGGCCTTGACGGAATCCTGAAACTGGCGGATTTCTCCAGTTGGGAAAATAACTCTAGCTGCCTTGTTGTTCTTCATTCTGGGGGAGATCCCGAAGCTACAAGCTGAAACAAAGTTCCCCATGATCTGATCTGAGTTTGTTTGGAGGGAGAATGATTTTGGTTAGAGAGGGCATGTGGGGTGTGATTGCGAAATTTATACATGGGGTATGCTCCACAAATGCGCGTGAAAGGATTTGTCACGGTTGGTGTGCCCCCAAGAGGAAATAGTGGCATAAATTAATACCCAAACTGTATATAAAAAACTAAGATAGTTTTTATTTTGGAAAATATATGATATAATTATGGTGAAAATCAAGTTAAAAGGAGAGCATAATAGGCATGAGAATGAATCCCGACTCGTCGGGAACCCGATCCACCTTTTTCGGTCAGGGATGAGGATTTCTGCTAAATCGGGGATGGGGACGGGGATCAAACCGGGGATGGATTCGGTCAGGGACGAGGATTTCCCGCTAAATCAGGAATGGGGACAGGGATCAAACCGGGGATGGGGATGGGGACTCCCGCCCCGTACCCGTTATATATATATATATATATATATATATACATACACATACATGTATATATATATATGTATATTATTTATTTCAACTAAAGCGGTAATTTATAATTTCTTATTTTCTAACTACGTTTATAATCTAAAATTGTTACTTTTTGTATGTTAATATGTAATATTTTGGATGTCAAGTCAAAATACAATTACTCGATAAGTTTTGTATATTATTCGATATGGTTTTATTACTCAATATCTTTTGTTACATGTGACTTTAATTTTTTTTGGATTAAATTGATTTTTTTTTTTTGGTTTTAGGTTAGTAGTTCTTATATGATGTTGTGGTTTTTTTGTATTAAATTAAATTCATTCTGATTTTAGGTTTATTTAAAATGTAATTTAAACATGTATGATTTCTCATATATTTAATTCAAAATAACTTATATAAACGAAAAAAATCCTCGTTTTCCCTTTGAGAATGGAGAGATGTGATTATAATCCCCGGTGGTGATGGGAACGGGGACGGTGATAGAGATAAGTAATGGGGATGGGGACGTGGATTGAGGTCCCCACCCCATTCCCATGCCTAGAGCTTAATAATTTAATTTGTTACATAACTTAATAAAACTTATAGCATATATAAAAACTTGTAGTTACAATAGTAAGACGAAGTTATTTGAAGTTGAACTGTAAAATATAACCATAAAACTGTATTTGAATTTTGGATTTGACCAGAAACTTGAACCGTTTTAATCCTGAATATTGGATATGTTGTTCACAGATCGATCTCTATTAGTCAGTAACGACCATGATTTAATTAGAATGAGTTTGTACATGTCGTTAGTTTCAACTTTTTGCCATCTCTAGTAAGGAAAAAGAGTATATGTTTGCTTTAACGGGTCAAAATCTATGTATTTTTTAAAGAGGTCGATATTATTCTACTATCGATAGAAATAAATAGGTCGGACTTATCGGCCCACCACCTGTCTAGACATGTTTCTCTTCCACAAAATTAAGACAAAGTTGTGGTATAAATTTATTTTAATTTGCATAACATCAAATTCATATTTGAATTTCTTGGTTTTATTTTTATAAGAGAACGTCAAAACTAATGATCGAGAAGAGACCGAACGGAAATAATTCCTTCTGGATTCATTCCTTTTACAAATGGAGCTTGAAAGAATGGTAGCCCAAACAAAACCATTTTGTGTAGAGGTGCGGTAAGCATTTTTCTAAACTGTAAATCATATTTCATATGTCTTAAATCGTAAAAAAAAGGAAAGGGAAGAAAACTGCAGGTGCAATAGAAAGGAAGGTGGGACGAGAAGAAACAAAGAAAGGCCATAAAACAAAGCGACAACCACGGGAGAGAACACGATATAACGAGATGACAAAACAGAGCCACGACAAAAGAACTATAATGAAAGAGCCATAAGGTTTGGCTTCTAGATCCACGACCGCCATTGAATGGATCATTTCTTTAATATTCTGGAGACTCGTTGAAAAACATAAAGCTACAATTCAACGAATAAAAGCTCCGATGGCAAATTTAATTCACTTGGGGTATATTTGGTTTGCATGATTGTTTTTTAGGGATTTGAATTTTATGGAGGGATTTGAACTGGAATTGATTTAAAATCATTAATGTGTTTAGTTTATAGAATTTGGAATGGAATTGGATTCCATTGTTTATAAAAAGATTATAAGAATAAGTAACTTACATTTTTATTAATCGATTATTACAAAACAAACATTTTTAACATTTTTTAGAACCTTATTACATACAATCCTATATGTTTGAGATTAAAGGTGATCAAAAGTCCATATCATTTTTTATGCTTCTTACCTTAACTCTTCTTCTCACACGATTCCTCATCTTGTTATTAACTATATAAATCAATCAATTGAAATATCTATGAAAATGATAAATGTTAATTTAATATGATCTAAAACATTTATGCAAGCTGATTAAAAGTTAATTAATTATGAATAACGCCTTATATTATGAAACAACAGATGAACAATTAAGACTGATTTATATGGTTTGTAACAATGTGTATATATAATGTTACAAAAATATAAGTGTAATGCAATTTGAATTACAATTTGATAATTCAAAACCATAAACTATACTGCAGAATGTAATTTCATAAATTACAAACCGTAAACCGTACTATAAAAGTTGTAAATCATACTATAAAATACAAGTGTTTGTATATAAATTCCCCTAATTTTATGACATGTGATGATAATGGGTATTAATAATGCATCTTATTATTATTATTATTATTTTTTAAGGAAATGTTAGGTTCAGGTTCAATCAAAGGAATGAAAATGATAAATAAGAAATTTTCATGCTCTCGATTTTATCTTGAAATCTAAATTTGGCTTCTAGGGGAATTAACACATTATATTATATAAAATCAAACAATTTTTTTTTTTTTTTATTGATTATTGTTTAATATCTTTAAGCAAACATCTTTTAATATTTTAAATGCACCTATCTTTCCATTATGTTACGTTACCATTACACCATATAATATCATGTGATATAATGATATATTTAGTAAAAAAGAATGCTAAGTTTTAATTTCGAGAAAGAGACGACAAATATTGTAGTTTATTTAGATATTATTATTTATTACCAAGATACCGTGTTTTATGTCGTTAAGTCGAGTGATGTTCATGAACCGGATTTCCTCACGTGGTTTCGTGTCACGAGATTCGTTTGGTGATCGGATAATTTAATAACTAAATTTATTCGGTTGCCTTTTGTTCAATCGTATCCTTTTTTAAGCAACTCATAACATATCTTTTAAAATTAAAATAAAAAAAGTGGTTTTGGTTTTTTATTTTATTTTATTTTAATAGATTTTATATATTTTCTGTTATTTTAAAATTTGGAAAATAAGAAAAAACTTTAACCGCCACTCCGCCAGTTTACCCAACTCTTATCAACTTATCGATAAGATTCAGTATTTTCACTTGACTTATCTATATTACCTTATAAATCAAATTTATCAAAAGTCTTAAAACAATTTTTAATACACAAAATACTATATATTTATACATAAAGTCTTAAAAACAATTCATAATGCATTAAGTACTACTACTTTTATGCATTTAGTCTTAAAATCTCTTACTCTACTATTAAAATAACATATAGTACAAGTTATCAATGCACATTATTACCTTTTCTATTCATGTATTTAAGACACTTTTGACACATTTCAGTCATGTCTTCACCCTCTCATACCTCTATGTCTTCTTCTCATCCCTCAATGTGAGATTCAAACTGATATTCACCATGAGTTATTAAAAGTTCTCTCATTCATCTCTCATTCAATTGATCTAGAACTCTCGGTCTCGCTCTCGATCTCTTGATTCTTTGCTCTTGGTGTAAATCGAACACATTTGTGGAGTTGTTTAAATATGTTGGATTTTAAATATATTGGATTTTAAACTGTCATTCAATTTTTTTCAACGATAGACTGTAATTAGAACCATAACTCTTATTTATTCAAATTGTATTAATATGTAAAGAACAAGTGTAACTTATATCATCGTTAAATTTTCTCTAATAAAATCAGTGAAACTTTAAAATCGTTAAAATTCACATCTCCCGATGCATTACACAAGTACACAACTAGTCAGTAAATATTTTAATCTATTAAAATGACGTCATGTTAAATAAATTCTCTAAAATTTGATAGCAAAGAAAAAGTAATTTTTTTATTCATTTTCATCAATGAAAATTAAATATTTTTATCTTATATATTTTTTTAAATGTATTGAGATGATAAAATTATAAAATATTTCAATCATATAATTAATGTTAAAATCTCTAAAATAGAGTATTTATTGGAATTGAATATATTTATTTTTAGAAATTTGAACTTTTGGTTTTTTTATTCTAAAGAAATTATAGAAAATTTGTTAGAGATGTTTTTAACAGTAAATTAGAAATGATCAAACCTATTAAAAAACCTGTCTTTAGAGTTGTTTCAGCTTTCCACTTTTTGAACCACTCTTTTTATAATGAGTCTTGGTTCGAATTGGTCTTTATAAGAAAAACAAGAACTCAATGTAATTGGTTGGATTGATCTGTCTAACCGTTTTGATATTTCATACTTGATTATTTCTTCTGTTTTAATATATTAACCATTTATTCAAGTTGGTCGTTTGAACCAGTCTTGTAATCCAAGTCCACATAGAAAAATGTACAATAGGTTGGAACGGGCTGCTCCTAATTGGTTCGACTTTAACTGATCTCAAATCAATTCCAACTAATCCAACCCCCCTTTAACCAGCATCAAATGTACATTTCTATGTAAATACAGTGGTAAAACTCTTTGTTGGTCTCAACCATCGGATTTGAAAATAATACAACTAGCATCTGATTCAACACTTAGAAATTCTTAATATTTGCCTTGTCATTCTCATGTCCGATAGACAACATCAATCGAATATGACACAAGAGGATTAGCATCCGAACTTTTGAAATTTGTTAGGTTTCGGATCTTAGTCACCATCGGATCTATAACTCAGATAAAATGTTAGATTTGATTAATCTTCATCTGAATGGAAGAATCTGATCAACCTATTTTCATGGTCACTCATTCTTGTTTATCAAGAACCCACATTTTATTCTAAGTTATTGTAAAATCCAATGTTCTTACATCATAATTGTTCTATTTTATAGCTAAAATATGATGTATAGCTTATATTTCGGAATAGTTAAGATAAGATATTTATTTGTAAAAGTCTTATAACTATCTGTATTGATCCAAGAACGAAAAACATTCAACAAAATCGAAGACTAGTTGAAGTAAGGTCAAGATCGTCACCAAAGCGGATTGGTTTGTCATATAGGAAAAAAGATCAATACAAAATTAAGTTAAATAGTAGTCTAACAAATACTACTACTGCAAGCTGGATTACGGAGTGCAAATTTGTCCAGCAAGTTTGGTTCACCAACTCTTTTAACTCATCCTAATATGAGTACATGCTTACGTATCAACCAAAATATGTTTTAAATCACTATTTTATTAGTGTCATGCTTTATTTACTGTTCTCTCTTCATACAAAAAAATGGGATAGGATAACACGTGTCTACGTCAACCACAAAAAAAGTTGAAATGAAGAATACAAACATGCATAAATCAAAAAATCAGATGAAAACATGCAATTAAGTTCATTAGTAGCATTTAATGCAATCATGACCATAAAAGGTCACCTTTGTCATTTGTTGCTACGCACCTGTTTTTAAAAGAACTATGAGTGATAATTATTAGACAAAATCGGCGTCACCATTTGAAGAACTATCTTAGTCCTTCAAATCTGAAAGTGTACCTTCCTTTCTCACTCTTTCACTTGTTAGTAAATTTGTTACCAGTCAGTTTGTTTATGATCACCGGTTTTGCCTTCTGACCTTCCGTAATAAATTTGTAATTCTTTGTTTTAAAATAAAATATAGAATTAAAAGTGAAAAATTTGTTGTGTTTGTATTCAATCCTCCTCTACAAACACATCATGTGTAAGTCATTATATCCTACAAACACTACTCTTTATTTTCTTTACAAAATATTAATTTAAAATAAAAATAAAGCCTGTGTTTTTAAAACTCAGCCTTATTAACATCATGTAATTATCAATTTTGTTTATTTTATAACATAGTTTCATAATCAATTAAAACATAAATTCAAGCTCTTATAAACTAAATATTATTCATAAAAACATAGGATGGGGGTGAACACGCATGTTCTACTTTGTTTCACTTGCATCTGTCTGTTCCATATAAAAGTCTTACCAAACGTGGAACAATGATTCATGTTTTGACTGTTATGTCATGTCTAGTGTTCCAAACACATCCTCAATAAGACTAACAACTTATTTTCTCAACTATATATAACTTTTTAATAGTGGCTTAATAATATAAAACATGACTTATTCAGTAAGTTTTTAGGGGGAGAGCTTTATGAAAAAGTTTTTTCCATACCTTCCCATCTCAATTAAAAAACACGTCCTTCCATCTACGAAAAAGAACAAAAAAAACATTTCCAATTTATACAGACAGATTAATCCACACAAACAAATTTATCCACACAAACAGATTTATACTGACAGATTTATCTATAGAGAACTTAATGAAAAACCAATCAAACAAACCTTAGTAACAAACTCATACCTTCATTTATTTTCACACCATATAAATTGGTTTTAAAAAAAATAATATCAAACAACCAAGAAAAAAGCAATCACAACATCACATAATAAACATTATTCCTCTAAATATTTCATTCCTGAAAATAACCCATAAATATGTGTTCAAGGGAATGGCAAGGTATTATTGGAGGCCCAAGTTTTTAAATCGATGGGGCGGATTCGATTTTGGGCCAACGTCTTCAAATTAATGGGCCGAATTTGATTTTGATTTCCGGCCCACATAGCATTGGACACAAGCCCATACGTACGCTCTGACGGATGAAAATAATCCCAAAAAAGGAACTCATTAGGATTCGAACATATCTTGTAACCTTCTAATCCGCATTGAAGCATTCCATTTAGGGGTCCATTCCCACAACATGCCTCATTTACATTCGCAAAACCTATTCAAAAGATAAGTGTTATAAAAATGTGATCGACTCAGGGGCCGTTTACCAAATGCTTACTCGGGTAAGCGGCTTACCAAGTTACATTACCTTACTGGATGAATATTGCAATGACCAAGTATCTTACCCGGTAAGAGCTAGGCAATGACCGAGAGTTTTACCCGGTAAGTGAGGGCAATAACTCTTAATTACCATGGTCAGCTCTTACCGGGTAAATTGTTGCATATAAAGCCGTTTTTGTTGACTAAAATCTTACCCGGTAAGTAAATGGTAGTATCAAATTTTACCGGATAAGTGTTTAGTAAACGGCTCCTCAATTCTTTTTGGACAAATACGTATAGAAAGAGAATATGGCAAGGAAATTAAAAGTACCGTAAAGATTTCCATTGGCACGAAAGTCTTCTATAGTGTTGTACACTGCTCCATAAACACCGACTGCACCAGGATACCTTATAGGTATGGTGTATGCCAGATGTTCCAAACCAACATTGTAATATCTCACCATCTTGTTCAACCTACTAAAACATTTCTCAGGAGATGCACCCGGCAAAAGGACTCTGGCAGGAATACACCCAATAGGACCAACTGAGAAGAGGGCAATCCTACGAGAACCAAGTTTGTATATCTGGTCGAGGAAGCAGACCACTTCTTTCAACATGGCGTGTACGTAGGCTGTCGGGGTTAGCGGTGGTGTATCAGGATATGATAAATAGGTAAATATATCATTTGAACCCGACTCGAGAAAAATAAGGGATTTTTTTATTTGTTTTCGGCGTAAATGCTTTTGACGAATTAGAGCTTGGAATTGTTGCAACTGAACTTGTATTGGTGTCGCCCTCTGCCCATCAAAATGATAACAAACATAAGAAAGGGGAGAAACAAATCGTTGAAGTAATTTTCAATTTGGCTCTTTTAAGTTCAAAAATTCACAATGAACCCCCTAATCAGCATTGAATGCCTATGGAAGCAATTAATATATACCAATTTCTGAAAACACTTAAATCGGATGGTTATTGATGCATTTTAGAAAGGCATATTTTAAAATGGTATTTAAATCATAATAACGGATTTATCATAAAAGAAAATTAATCACTTAAAAAAACTCAATTAAATAATATTTAATAACACATCCCAAATTTTTATTAAACAAAATTTAAATTAATTGAGTTATCTGTAAAGAGGAGGAGGATTGTGTTTATTTGAAAAGCCTCTTTTAACTTTTGAGAACCGAGAGAGAAATCAGATCAGATCTGATACGATCATCCAAAAGGTTACGATAGTTAGATACATATGATTTAATAATTTTTTAAGTTAACTATATTGTCGTTTGAACTGATTCTAATAGTATTGACACATGTCATGTGGAGCAATTGCAACCAATTTTTGATGTCACATAGGATTGACACTTGCAAATATTGCAAGCTACATGGTCCATCACATTTTCTCTTCCTTTTTTAAATAAAATTAATTATTTTTATTTAATATACATATATATATATATATAT